GCGCCGGCAGCCTGCCCAGAGGCGCCCCGGCACGGGGGCCCGCCGCAGGCTGGAGGGGGGGGGGCCTTCTCGCTTGTCCCCCCCCCAGTCGTTCCGCCGATGGCTGGCGGTCACCCGCCCCCCCCCCCCCTTGCCCCTCCCCTTCGCCCCTCCCATGGTCTGGACGCCCGAAATGGGTACGGGAAGAATGGGTACAATGCCCAACAGCAAGTGTTGTCCAAAACCAGCAGCGGCCGCTGTTGGGCAGGCAACCTTCTGTCTCGAATTGACACAAGCCGCGGCGGCGTGGACAGCGAGTCCCGATCAAAATGAACAAGAACTGCTGTTGGGCATCGTACCCATTCTTTCCGTACCAAGCTCGTTCGTGCCGACCTGGGGTCTAAAATCCCGCTAGGGGGAGGGGGGGTCCGCGGGGAGGGGGGGAGAGGGGGGCACGAGCTCCTCGGCGCACCCCTGGGGCCTCCGGAGCCTCCGAAATCCAGCCTCCCTCGCATCCAAGAGGACGCCCAGTGACTTCCAATAATGCGCAAAAAGGGCACCAAAACACGCCCTGATGGCTTCAAAAGCATTCAAGATGGCATCAAGACAGCCCAAGACGCCGAAAGAGGGCCCCAAGAAGACCCCCAAGAGGGCCCCACGAGGCATAAATCGATGATTTGCTAAAAAGATGGTACACTGATTTTCGCATGCTCGCCGTTTCGGGCGTCTGCGAACCCAAAACTGCGCGAGAAGACCCCCCGACTGGCTCGAGACGGCCCAAGAGGCAGAGGGCTCGGAGACGGCCCAAGAGGGACCCAAGACGACCCAAGGGGCCCCCAGGACGATACCAAACCCTCGAGAATCCCCAAAGATAGGCCCAAGAGAGGCTTAACAGGGGGACTCCGCAGGGACGAAAGCCCTCATTCATAAGATAGGCGGCAAGACCCCCAGCATGACTTCAAAGAGGCCCCGAAGAAGCCCACATCAGGCCCAAAGTCAAGCTCCTTGAAAGTGCCAAGACGCCGCCCAATGGGCCTCCAAAAGGCTCCAAGGAAAGAAAAGGAAGGCGAAACAGCAAGAACCACACGCAGGCCGCAAGACGGGAAATTGCAACCAACACACGACTCGGAAATCGCATATATGCTCGAGGCCGTCTTTTATGTTTCGGCGGTGCCCAGGGTTATCTGGTGGGGGGGGGAAGGTAACGGGCGCCGAATCTGGCTTTTTGGTCTTCGCCCTAAGGCAGCCCCACGTGTGCACGCGCGCGCACCAATACTGCGCACGGACCTGCGCAGCCGACGAGGTCAGAGTTTCCGGGGGGGAGCAGAGGGGGGCGGGCCTGCCCTCTGACCCGGGTTATGGCCGGACCCTAACTGATGTAGCATCTTGAGGGGACCTCGTCTGTCCCATCGCGCCAACCATCCTGGTCGCATCCGTGTCAAATCCGCGTCGAACGCGTCGAATGCGCGTCGAATCCACGTCGTGTCCGTGTCGAATCCATGTCTGGTCCGTGCCGAATCTATGTCGAGTCCACGTCGAATCCGCGTGGGAGTGCAAGAGAAGACTGCCATGCACAGAACACGAAATTTCCCCCGAAGTTGCAAAGTACAGTCGGACCTGAGCGAAAAGAGCATCCCTCAAGAACATGAGACCCTCCGCCGACCCACACAAACAGAACATCCAAGGCTACCCTCCCCCAGGTTGCACAAAAACACCCAACAAACACGAAGAAAACTAGGGTACCCTCCCCGAACCGACCTCGATCCCATACCTCGGTCCGACAGGAAGGTAACAAGCGGTCTCTTCTCTTTTGTACGTAGCAATAAAAGGTCCCCTGACCCTTTCGGAGGGGAACAAAGTCAGGAGGGCCAAGGGCATCAGGATAAAGGGGTTCTTTTCTGCAGATGCATCACACAAACCGACCAGTCATATGATCATAATGCGAAGACTGGGACCTAAGTGAGGCCACGTCTTCTTTGGACGCCCGAAATGGGTACTGGAAAAATGTGCACAATGCCCAACAACAAATGTTGCCCCAAACCAACAGCGACCGCTGTTGGGCAGGCGGCCCTCTGTCTCAAATGGACACAGGCCGAGGCGGCGCGATTAGCGAGTCATGATTAAAATGAACAAGAACTGCTGTTTGGGCATCGTGCCCTCTCTTCCCGTACCCATCTCGTTCGTGCCGAGCTGTGCTTCTGGGGGCCGGCAGACTGGCGCACGCCTCCCAAGTATAGAACGCTCGACTGGAGGCCGGCTCCCACGAGGCGGCGCGCCGAGAGAGGGCAAGAGCCGAAGGGGGGGGGGGGCCTCCGGACAAAAGGAGTATCGTTCAACCGATCCCCATCCCAAGCGGCGTGGCCTGGGCCCCACTGGCCGATTTCCTCTCCTAGATGGGGATATAAGCCGTTTCCGTCGGATTTCGAGGGGTGTATCCCCAACTGGGGAGGTAAATTGGTGGGGGGTGGGGGTCTCGAAGGGGATGGATATGGGGATGGGGATCGGGTAAGGCTAAGCGATACTGACCTTAAAGGCGCCCCCGCCGTCTCAACGAGAAGGGCTCGAGCACGAAAACGGTGTGTTCCGTGTTCGGTGTGTTTTTGTTCCGTTGCCCCTCGATGCGGAAGGCTCGGGGGGAACAACAAACAAACGTTTGTTCCCGTGCTCGTTCTGTGTTTGCTCGTTGTCCCTCGTTTCTGTTTGCGCTCCGCCCTTACCGCAAGGTGGGACCGAAACGAGCACAGGCCACGACCTTGTCACAACACCGCTTGGTTTTCCGTGCTCGTTTTGTGGTCGCTACCCCTCGTGCAGACAGCGTTCCGCCCTCGCCGCAAAACGGAGCCAGAACGAACGCGGGCTACGAAAAATCGCCAAACACCGCCCGGCTCGCGACCTTCTCGGGCGCCCTGTCCAGCTCCCAAGGAGGCCTGCTGGGAGCTCCCCAGGAGAGAAGGGCGGCCGATGCCCTCTCCGAGGCGCGGGGGGGCCTTCTGCCAAGGAGATCGGCCCCCTCCCTTGGGAGCTGGCATCCATCCCTTGGGATCGGCCCCCTCTCCCCCCGCCTCCTCCCCTCCTCCTCCTCCTCCCCTCCTCCTCCTCCTCCTCCTCCTCCTCCCCCTCCCCCTCCTCCCCCTCCTCCTCCTCCGCCTCCTCCTCCCTCCTCTCCTCCTCCTCCTCCTCCTCCCTCCTCCTCCTCCTCCTCCTCCTCCTCCTCCTCCTCCTCCTCCTCCTCCTCCTCCTCCTCCTCCTCCTCCTCCTCCTCCTCCTCCTCCTCCTCCTCCTCCTCTCAGGAGCCAGAATCGGCCCCTCTCGTGGGAGCTGGGGAGGGCTCCCGCAGGAGGCGGGCGTCCTCTCAGGAGGCGACCCCCCTCGGCCTGTCCTCGATCTGGCGCGCCGCCGATCCACGGGCTGCACATATGAACAAAAGGTGACATGGTCAGGTCCGAAGCGCGAAGAAATTGCAGTGGCGAATTCCCGTGCAGGCGATGCATTACCTTCCTGATGCTCGTGCCAGTGCTCTTACCTTCTGGCATCAGCAGTCGTGCGCCTCCCCCCGAGACTTCCTGAGGCAAGGGGCCAACCCGCGCCAAGCTGCAGCGCGGGGTGGAAAAAGACGTTGGCAAAGACGCTGGGCATTCCAAGCTCTGCACGTCGGTTGGAAGAAGTAGGTGAACACATGAAGTAGGAAGGCGGACAACATAGATTGGGTTCAGGCCCTCCCAGAAAATCACAGGACACAGCAAAAACATATCGGCTCTTGAAATAGGAAGGCGCGTAAAATAACTTGGGATCTGGGAATCCAGAAATACCTACTTCCAACGACCGGAGTGCACTGTTTGTTATGCTTACGGCAAGTTCGTGCTATGTCGACGCGCACGCTGGTTTCAGACACGCGTGGATCGTTCAGCCATGACTCATCACGGATTTCTGATAGCACAGATCGGTATCGGCCTGTTTCAGGCCACAGACGTGTGGCAGCGATAAGGGGGGGCACCTCAAGGGGGGACATCGAGCTGGAATCCGCGATACATCACCGATAGATCGGCAACAGGGCCCCGACAGCAGAACTCCACGGTCCTGGGCGGGGTGGGCTATCGTGCCCCTGCATCGGCGATGAGTGGGGGATTAGGTGTCGATGCATCCCCCCTGGAGCCTATCCCCCCATAACGCTGCCCCCATTGTTGCCGGACCTCAGCTCGGCTCTCCAGCGGCCGTTCGGGAAGATATGGGCACCCCAGAAACCTCCTCGGCATGGGGAAGCCGCTGGAATGCGCCCCGAGGCCGAGAGCCAAGGAAGACCTCCGAAAACATCGAACCTCGATTCCGAGAAAGTCGTCCGAAAGGTATCAACCCTGAGAGCCCGCGCCCGGGTCGCCGCTGCGCCGAGGCGAGGAACGCGGGCCTGCGGCACCGACGGCGCAAGAGAGGCCTCTGAGAGGCGCCCTCCGCGGATCACGCCGCGACGAGGCCCATACTGGCCGTGCGGTTGACGGCGCCGGCCAGCGGCCCCGGGCGGACGGCGGCCACCTTGGGGATGCGGGCCTGCAGGATCGTAAAAACTGCATTTGATGACCTACCAAACCACCCCAACCAGACCCGAAGACCCAAATTTCGGGTTGGGAGGGTACGGGTTCCACATGTGCTTCTTCACTGTTCCCCGACGCCCCCCCCCCGCTGGAAGTGCAGGGCAACTTGGGGCCTTCGGCTTCGGTTGGGGTGGTTTGGCGGGTGGTGAGCATTGCCACAGCCGCTCGGAGCTCCGCGCGCAGCGGGCGCCCGCGTCGATCCGAGAACGCCGCGCGGAGCTCCCAGAGCCTGTGGCCCCATGCCGCGTTCTTTTCCCGCGCCGAGGGCCGAGAGCAGCTTGGCGAACTGCCTGCCCCAGTGCGCCCCGACGGGCCCCTCGGGCCGGATCCAGTGCCCCCGCGCCTTGCCGTCGGCCCCCGCCTGCGTCACGAGGCGGCGCCAGGAGGCGTGGTCCCGCTCGACCAGCTGCGTGGCCCAGTCGGCGTCGTGTATCTTCATGTGCAGCGTGGCGGTGTCCTTGCCCGTGCTGTGCTTGAAGTCCTCCCAGGGGGGCGTCGGCCACACGCCCGCGCTGGTTCTGAAGGGGCTTAGGGCCACACACATGAATACACACAGATCCCAGGATCCCCCATATTTCCCCATATTTTCTGAGTTGTTGTCTTCCCCCCACCTCCCATATTTTCTTATATTTTCCTGGGGGTCGACGATTCAGTGTGTCTGTGTGTTTCTTTCCCTCCTGAAATTCCCGCCGGGCCAACAAAGGGGCCCCAAAACGGTGCCCAAGAGACCCCGCCGACTCTGCAGCAGAGGCGCCGGAGGCGCCGCCAGGGGGGCCCCGCGCCGATCCAAGAAGTCCGCGCGGGGGCTCCGAAAGTACATGTTGATGTAGATGTTCCTCGTCTGCAGCATGTAGCGTGTACACACCTTTTGATGGGCCCAGGATGGGCCTGAGCAGGATCGGTGTCGGTGTCCCCCGGTGTGTGCTGGCGCCCCCGAGCTATGGACGTCCACGGCAGGCGCAACACCGGAAGCCGTCCGAACCGGCTGCGAACGCGGAGCCGACCCCACCCGACAGACCAAGAGCAGCCGAGAAGGACGCAGTGACGCAAGAGCCGACCGTCCATTCTTGAATGTTCTTCTCGACGGCGTCAAACCCTGAATGCCCACCTGCACCGACACCGCAGCCGGCCGAAGGCGGCCGTCTGCGATGCAACCGTCCGAACTGGTTCGCGGGTGCCCAGAGACCCGACGTAGGGTTCAGTCGGGCGTGCATGCCTGATACGGGAGGAATATTCCAAATAGTCGAAAATAGTCTGGGGACGATTTGTTCTAGTATTTGGACATAGTTTGACTATTTGTTATTTTCCCTCCAGAACCCGCCTGTAGGAAGACATGCCCGACCTGAACCTGCTGCCTTTTTCAAAACGGGGTCTCCAAGAGTCACTCGCGGACGCGCCAACCGCGTCAAGACACACCCGGGTCCGCCAGGGCCCTGTCACGAAGCCTGACCTGGCGCTTGGCAGCCCCAAAACCCAGGTCCGCGGAGGGCCGACAAACCGCCGAGAGCCCGAGCCCGAACCGATTCGCGCGCGTCCCCACTCGGAGTCCTCCATCCACCCGAGCATCTCCTGGATGCGCCCGGGCACCACTGCCTCGACGTCCTCGACGGACCTCGCGTGGGCGAGGGGCCCCGCCCTGGTGTTGACGACGAACACCTTCCAGTCGGCCTGCGCAGGGGGCAGCAAGGGGGGAGGGTCAGCAGGGGGGGGAGGGGGGGCGAGCACAGTCGAGATGTGGCCACGAAAACGCGAGCCGAGAACACGAGCCCCATCTACTCGGACCCTACACTTGAAACGCTCCGAGACGGGGTCCTCGGAAGACCCAACCCTGTCCTCAGGGCTAACGCTTCGTCCCGAATAGCTTTTGCACGGCCCTAGGGTCCAACACGGGCCCCCCGAGACCGAACACGGCAAAGTCGTCTTCCCTTGTTCAAGACGCTGGAAGTCTGGAACCTTTCTGCGAGGCCTGGATCCCAGGCCGCTCAAAATCTGCCCCAGGACCCCTCACGGGGTCCATCCTGACCCGTTCTTCGAGGGGCAGAGCAGCCGTGGCGGCGAGCCCCCAAAAAGGACGAGACACGCCAGGGAGGGTCGCCGTTGTCGCGACTGGCCATTGTCCGAATTTGGGAGGCCTGGATCTAGGGCCCGGCAAAGAGGGGGAACGCGAGGGGGGGACCGGCTCAGGGTGGAAACATCGAGCCTGAGTCGGCGATACATCGCCGATAGATCGGCGATAACCCCCCGATAGCGAAACCGCACGGTCCTGGGAGTGGTGGGCTGTTGGGCCCCTATCGGCGATGACACGGCGACTCGGGGCCGATGCATCCCCCAGAGTATGTCCCCGCACCTGGTAGTGATCGGCCCATACCTCGGGCCCCCTGCGGCCGTTCGGGACGACCCGGGCACCCCTGGAACGCCCACATCGAAGCGCAGCCGCCGGAAAGCACCCCGAGGATAGAAAACCGCAAGGAAACGACGCGACTGCCCGAAAACCTGGGTCCGCCAGCATCGGCGATGACTGGGCGATTGGGGGTTGACGCATTCCCCACTGAGCCTATCCCACCCCTGTCGCTGCCCCTGAAGAAACGAGGGGAGGAGGGGGAGGAGGAAGAGGAGGAGGAGGAGGGGGAGGAGGAGGAGGAGGAAAAGGATCAGGAGGAGAAGGAAAAGAAGGAGGAGGAGGAGGGAGAGGAGGAGAAGAAGGAGGAGCAGGAGGAAGAGGAGGAGAGAGAGGAGGAAGAGGAGGAGGAGGAGGAGGAGGAGGAGGCGAGGAGGAGGGGGAGGAGGAGGAGGAGGCGAGGGAGGAGGATGAGGAGGCGGAGGAGCAGGATGAGGAGGAGGAGGAGGAGGAGGAGAGGGATGCGGAGGAGGAGGAGGACGAGGAGGGGGAGGAGCAGCAGGAGAGGGGCACGTTTGGGGTGCGCCTCGCCCTCGTCCACGAGGCACACGGCTCCCAGGATGCGGCACTCGACGATGTCCCCGACGCCCACCGAGTGGCCGCTCACGTCGAGTACGTCGAGCGGGTCGTCGTCCCCGGGGGCCTCGCGGGGTGGAGGTTCGAAGGACGTCCGCCTCTTTCTACCTGCTCTCTCCTCCCTCCTTCAAAACCCCTTTTCTCTCCTCCTCCTCCTCCTCCTCCTACTCCTCCTCCTCCTCCTCCTCCTCCTCCTCCTCCTCCTCCTCCTCCCTCCTCCTCCTCGCTCCTCGCTCCTCGCTGCTCGCTCCTCCCTCCTCCTCCTCCTCCTCCTTCTCCTCCTCCTCCTCCTGCCTCCAACCGCCTCCTCCTCCATCCTCCTCGGCCTCCTCCCTCCTCAGCCCCCCTCCTCGGCCTCCTCCCTCATCCCCCTCCTCAAACGGGGTGCCCACTCCGAGGCAGCTTTTCGGGCCGGACGAAGGGCAACATCACTCAACATCGAGTCGGGAAATCGGACCGAATCAGAATAGGCGTCAGCTCGGCCCGCATCGACACGGAGACAGAGCCGAACCGAGCCGTACCGACCGCGCCATGATGCACGTAGGCGCCATGCGAGCATCAGGCCACATTGGATCGTCTGAACATCGTAATCGAATCGGATCGGGCCCGCCGGGATCGATATGGAAGTAGATCGATCGGATCGAATCGGATCGGGGGATAGCAAAGAAGGGGGTAGCGAATCAGCTCACGTAGCTGGTATCTCCGACGCGTCCTGGCGCTCCAGAAGCGTTCCTGCATCGAGGAGACCGCACGGTGGCGGGGAGGCACCTCCTGGGATTCCTCCGCGCTAGCAGTGAATGGCTGCCGCGCGTAGAGGAGCCCAGAATTCACTACTGAGACCGACCAAGCCAGATTGCGCAACATTACCAGGCACTTTCCCGACATAAACGGGATTGGGCCGGTCCTCGACCATGGCGGCTATACCGGCGCCGACCCTTCATCAAAACTGCGAGGAATTGCGACTGAACGAGGCGGGGGACATGTCGTCGAGCCCGTGAGCAAGATCAGCCAACACCGAATCGCAAAATCGGGTAGGATCGGACTGTGCATCGAGTTGGGCTGATCGGCAAAGCGTCGGACAATTTGAATATCACCTGCCCCACGCAGGCAAGGGCGATGCAAGCATCGGGCATCACACGATCGTCGACACGTCGAAACCGAATCGGACCGAGTCGGCCAAATTCGACAGCGAATCGGATCGGATCTACTCGACACGGGACGCAAAGAGACATACTAGTACTATCTGTCCGCCTTGGGACGCGCGCTCGACCCGAACATATAGTATACCCATGTTGTAGTATATGATTTCCCGAACGGCGCGGCCAAAAAACGCCCACCACGAAACATATACTATAAAATTGTTCGGCGCGCGCGTCGCCCCTGCAGGGGCGACGCACATATAGTATAAGTATGTTGGGGTGACGCCGACAACGTGGAACCTGCTGCGCCGGCCAAGAAACGGAATCTGCATCGAAGCGGCCGCGCCGCGGTGTCCCAACACCATTAACAGGTCTGCTCGCATTGGATCTGCGCCTTCCGTGGGTGCGCCTCTCTTGCGCCGGGCGCGATGCAGACGTATACCAAGCGGGCACAGAGAAGACTGAATTGCGCATCGAACTCGACTGCGCGCACGAGTGGCGTTCGGCAACAGCGAGCTTCGGTCCTCGGCTTTATTCGAAGGCAAAAATTCTACTCCCATAGTGCCCACCCCGACAAGCGAGGCCGTTTAGTAAACGCACCCCAACAAGGAATCGAGCAGGCCAGGGCTGTTTAGTAAACGCCCAGGGCCGTTTAGTAAACGCCAAGTGTCCGGTCCGGGTGGCTTTTCCTCCCTTGATATACGCGGGCCAATACAGGACACGAAGAGGCCGCGCCTAGACGGCGCATCGGCACAAATTGGATTGAAAACGAAGGCCAGAAAAATATGCAGAAAAGTATGCGGAATGCACGCGCGCCGGGTCGCACCCACTGCCCATTGACCAGCGCTGGGCGGCGAGCGCAACTACACTCGCACATCGCACGCTGAACATGCAAGGGGGCAGGGGGGGAGGGGGCGGGCGAGGGGGGGCGGCGGAGGGAACACGGAACAGGCGGGAACACGATTACATACAGTAGTATCCACGGCTTGGTGCCATTCTGCTGGAGAGCCTTGCGGCAGGTCGCGCAGCGCAAATTGTCATTGTCGCCCCCTGCTGCCTCCATGGCCCAAGCGCGCACGCATGCAGCCCATTGCAAGCGCGGGCGCCCACGAGAACGCAAAATGTTGCATCTTCTCGGCTGGCAGCTCCCACTCTCGAGCAGCCTTGCTCTCGGAAGGCTTCTCGGCGAAGCCCTTGCCAACTTATCATATAAACGCAGCTGTCGCCTCGATGACTGCGATGATAAGCGCGCGGCGTTGGCGGCTGCTCTGACTTCGACGTCGCTGACACGGAGAAACTGGCAGGTTGGATGTCGCGTATTCTTCGAAGGCATACCGCTTGGAAAGTGACGCGGCAGTCTCCGCCGGCTTGCAGCAGCATGCATAGAGCAGCGTTGAGAATACAGCAGCATCCAACACACGGATGTTGCACTGTCTGGTCATGTTGGCGTGGCTGCACACAGCGCTGATATGTTCGAATGCCCCTTTTGCTTCGCCATGCCTGCGCGGGAATTCTGCTCGTGGCTTCCCGTCGAAACTCAGCAGCCTGTCCAGGGATGCAGCCTCTTCTTTGCATGTAATCAGATCCTCTTCCGGCCTGCCAACGCTTGCTTCCGATCGCGCTCTCAATGATATAGTGTTGGAGACGTCTGTTTCGAGAGCAAAGAGATTTTCGATTTCCACCAGCGCGCCCAGATGCCGTTGAGTAGCGCCCTGAGTCGTAGCCACCAGCATTGCGTCGCCTGCGCGCAGCAGGTCATCCGTTACCACGTGCGGTTTGGACATGATGTTCGCACGGCGTTACGTCTTCTGTCCACGGCCCACGTAATTACTGACACAAGTCAAACAAGCACGGCGACAATGGGCAGCCCCCAGCTACGCCAGCCGCTCGAGGCCTCGGGGACGTTGTATCTGCACAATATTTGACGACAAACTCTTTCAAAGGCTAGATTACCTGCGCCATGTCTACCATGGCTGGCGGCGCATGGAAGTGCTGGAGCGCAATTGACAAGTCCTCTGGCGTTATTTTGCCGGAAGCTTTGTTCCAGCCAAGACATGAAACAAGTAAAGGGCCGCCCTCGTCTTCCAACGGTGCGTCAATCGACCAGCGAACCAGAAGCAGCGCGTCTGAGATGCCCAGTCCTGGGCGGAAACCACATTGAAATTCGCGCAGCGCCCCCCCCCCCCCCCCCCCCCACCCCCCCCCCCCCCCCCCCCCCCCCCAGTCTTCAAGCGATGCAACAATGCATGCGCCAGTGCGTCATAGCCGACTTGTAGTAACGATATAGGCCTCTGTGCTAAGCAATGATGCGTCTCCTTATTAAACAAATATAAGCACAACTGAAGATCTCCGCCATTCGGCCGGCCAAAGTTTGCATCGCCAGCGCGCGCTACACAGGTCCAAAAGAACGCCCGGCGCGCTGCCTGACAACCACAATGCCTCCAGAAGGTCTGGCGGTGCGCCGTCGCTGACAGCAGCTCCCTGCTTTTTCAATGCCTTTGCTGCTCGTCGAAATTCTGCCATGCTGATGTCCCCACGTCGATGCTTAAATATTCCCCGACTCGGTTGAATAGAGGGAGCTCTGCTGGTCCATCATAGAATCTCCATTGCCCTTTTTCAAGATAATCAACCATTGCTTCTGCTTTGTCTTCCGCTCCACACAGTGCCCAGATCAACGTTGCAATCCCCCGTGCTGTGGCGGCCGACTTTTGTTTAAGGGGCGCCTCCAACTACCTGCCCGCCAGCCCTGGCAACTGAATTCGTTCACGGAATGCTTTGACTTCCTCGTTGGATCCCCATGCGCTGTCTGCAACAGTTTCTCTGTTGCATGAAATGCAACGCCCACTGCGCGATGCAAGCCCTGCGCGGGGTAGCGGGCGAGAGAGGTGCAGATTCTTTCGCCGATTCCAGCATGCACAACAAGCACCTGGCGCCGCTGCCCCGTTGACGGGGTCGCCCGTGGGCGTTCCCATCTCCCCGCGAAGCCAGACGTATAACTAGTTTCCGACATTCTGCGGTTGATGAAAAGATGCCCAATCGCACTGCGGTCGTCGTTGAGGAGGCCCCTGCGGAGGGATGTTGACTGCCAATGCCACGATGCCCACAAAGTGATTCGCGCGCAGAGCCCTGGGCCCATCGCCCCACATGCACCGCGCGTTCGCCAACCAGGCCCGCTCGACGGTGACGTGGTCAAGTTGCTCGAACCTTCCGGGTTGCATCTCGTCCTTGGGTCGCGCAAATGAGTCGCAGCGCGCCACCTTCGACTCCGTTCCTACATCGAAGAAAGCACCGGCAATGTAATATTCCAAGCTTGTGAATAATTATGCCAACACTTCTCTGTTTGAGAGAGCACCCCCTTTACCGCGGATGATCTCGGAGACGAGCTCCCCCACGATACCTACTTCTCAAGCGCGCCTCTGCAACGGCCGCGCGCTGCAATCGCAGCGCATGGCCGCCGGCCCACGCGAGCGGCACTTCCCGGTGAAATTCCCGAGCTCGGAAAAGAAATCGTGCCCGATATCGCGTGCGTATTCGTTTGTGTCTGCGCATGCTGTCACCAATGTTCATGCACCTCCAGTTACTCGTATCCTTGAGCTCGCCATTCTGTTGTAATGTTGCAAGTAGCCTTCTCCTGAACGCGTTGCCCATGGTGCTGCAACGAAGCCCACTCCAGAATGCTCCCAGGCGTCGTCCTCGCCCCCTGACACGATGAAGAAGTGGCCTTGGAATTCACAGACCGGGGAACCGCGGCAGCGCGTCTCTTGGAGACATGCCACTGCGATGTCCAGGTCTCTCATGCCTTTGATCGCATCGCGCCGATTGCGCGGCCGATCCTGCGGAATGCCTCCGACACTCCGGGATGCAACTTCGCTGCGAGATATGGGCCAACGTGGGAATGTTACTCATGCGCCAAGCGAGGCTGCTCTCTCGTGGCCGATGCGCCGTGCAGGCCCCTAGTCTGGACCCTGCCCGCCCTTCTTGCCCGTCCCATCTCCCTTGGCAGATCGGCCCAAAGCGTCATTCGCCCGAGTGGCAAGGTGATCCACTTCTGGACTTTTCGTGATCTCGTCACAGTTCCCCCAGGCCCCCTCCCATTTGGTGCTGATAGTGCTGTTGGCAACGCGCGCAGATACCGCTGGATGCTTCGCTGCTATGAGTACCAAGTTGTCTGTATCAGCGCGAACCTCGTTTTTCGAATCGCCCCGCCCCATAAACTGTTTGCGCAAACCAAACAGAAAGCTCCCCGGCAACCGCTTCTCGATTGGTTGGTTGGATTGGGCCCGCGCAGTTTTGCCATTGTGCGTGGTCTGAGCTTTGCTGAATACGTAGACGAACCTGTCGCGCGTGTCAGCGGAGCCAAACTTCACGAAGACTACGCTGTTGAAAGCGCCCGCGGTGAAGATGTCGACGCACCCCGGCACGCGGGCGCGCGCAAACTTAGGAGCTAAAAAAACGCGAATTAATTGCACACAAAGGGTTTCGGCACCACCAACGGCGCGACGCATGTGCACCCATGCCACTGGATCCCCGGCGATCCGGCCCAGGGTTGATGCACGGCCGTGCGCTGAGACGCAATTGAAAGGCATGGCGCGGCAGCGCTGTCGGCGGCAACAAGAACCCAAGCTCCGCAACCAACAGACATCACATGGTGGTTTGGCACAGCCAAACCACCATGCAACGTCAGTTTGTTCCTCCGTTGACAGCAGCACGCGTCGCGGCAGCAGAACGCAGTGGCGCGCGAGGCCATGCGTGGCCGGCGACGTGGCTGGCCAGCTGCCAGCGCGATTCCGGCATAAGGGCCGGGGCCCGCGCAGGATCGCTTTCGGCGTGGCCTTGCGAAGCGCGCACTGCCAAGCGCCGCGGCCTTGCGCAGCTGCATCGCACTGCCAAGCGCCGCGGCCTTGCGCGTGTAGCGCAAGGCCCCGCGCGCCCCTCGAGGCGGGAAAACAAGCTCTACTCGAAGGAATCGCGTGGGGCCGGCGAAAACGATAGCACGCAAAGGAAATCCCGTCGCGCGCCCCCCGCGCGGGAAGTGTAACCAGACCGCGCACAATGGAATTGCACGAGACTTCGCGGCGCGCAAGGGGACTGCAGCAACTCCCTTTGGGTTGCGCATTTCGCGCGCGGCGGCGGCTCCGAGCTGGAAAAGAAGGGGGGGCGGGGCAAGGCAGAGCAGGGGAAGAGGGAAAGGATGCGGAGAGCGAGAAAGAAGCGAAAGAAGCAACGGAACAAAAACCAGGATGCGCGCAAGCGAAGCTAACTCTGCGCGCCGAAACAGTTGTTCATTCGTTCGCTCGGCCGTGGGGCATGCGAACAGAAAAAGAATCGTTTGCTGCCTATCGAAAAGATTTTTGGGGAAGGAGACTCGCGCTTTCTTTTCAGCCCCCTCTCCCGCGCCCCGTTGCGAGCGCGCGACGAGATATTCTAGCACGCGGGCAGAAGACTGCCAATTGCCGGCAAGCGGCCTTTCCACCCGTCGCGCGTTCCAAACAAATGCGGCCAACCAAACGCACTTGCCACGCAAACCGCCAGCTCCAAACACCGACGCCACCCAGATCCCCGTATCCGTGCCAGGCACACTCTCAACGACGCCCCTTTCTGGCGTAAAACCAATAGAACTCATTGTGTTTATGTGTTCTTTCCTGTTCTGAGAACTGGCCTTTCAGGAAGTCCACCGCTGTCCATATCCGGGAAACTACCCAAGCCCCTGACAACCGCACCGCATTCTCGGTCCCAGCCTGCCGTCAGCTCAGAGAGCATTGTTCCAGGTCGAACATATTGTGTTCGATGTGTGACGTAATGCTTGGCGCTGCTCCTGAAGTTGCCGATGCCGACCGGGATCCCGATCGCTCCAGGAAGTCGACGCCTTCTGTGAGTTTGTTCATTACCGCCTGGACAGGTCCCAGATCTTGCTGTAACTCATCCCTGGATACCCCATGTAGTTGAATAGTTGCAACGTCCTGCTGTAGAGGCTGCAGGTACTGCTAAAACATGCCCTCGATCGCACTCATGGTGATCTCACCCGTCGACGCCCCAGCTCTTCCTGTTCCTTCACCTTGAGCTGCAATGTCCTTATCCAGCCCGTCCATTTCATGAAGCGGGCTATGGAATCGATGCTGTTTGAAAAGCTGCCTGACGGGGGTACCTGGGAGTCGCGTGCCGCCATCACTGAATAAGCCATCGGTGTGGGACCGGAGTGCGAAGATGGTGAGTAGACTGAGAAAATATATGCGAGAGCCAGAACACTTGAGCCTTGAGTCCCTAACGCCTTGAGCCAACACAAACACGCGAATGCGAGGGAGAACCGTGTCCAGATGTTTGTTCTGGGGTCGTCCGTATGCAGGCCCGTGCGAGAAGTCACCCTGGTGATAATAGAATGAAGCAAATCTGCAAAACAAAAAAGATTGCGAAGGTCCGTCCGGACTTCTTGGGATCGGCGCTGGACCCACTTCTTTGGCGCGCGGAGCTCGTCACGGGCGGCGCGCCAGAGACGCCGCCACTGGGAGTCCGCGCCGATCTGACACATCCGCGTGGAAGGATGGACATGTATGATTATGTAAGTGTTTCAGCGGTGGACAAGCCTCCAGCTAAAAAACCTCCCTTCAATGAAAACAGCCTAGGACCAAAACCAACGGACCGGGACCCGCAAAAATGACGGCCGCGACGCCATCTCGCGAACCGAAGACGGCCAATTCCTTAATCGACGTGTCATGGTAGGAGGTTTATCAACCTCCGAGACATGTATGTCTATGCAATTGCTTGCAAGGGTTACTGACACGCGTACTCGGCAAACGCACTCAGCACACTCCGAGCCCCAAGCCCCGTGGAGCTCGTCGATCTCGTCTGGGTCGCGGTAGGTCTGCGGGAAGCAGCCGTAGTTGAACGGCACCGGCTGCCCGAAGGCCTTGAGCCGCGCGGAGCCCACGGGGTCCTCCACGATCCTGCTTGTGTGCAAAGGGACCCTGTGCACTACGACACTGCCTGGCCAAGGACACTCGGGCCCTGGCATGGTGCAGAAAGGCAGACGAAACAGAGATTCGCACGCCCGAGCTGGGTACGGAACAGGCGACGGTGCCCAAAACTAAATCTCTTCCAAACCCCACGGTGGCCGCTGTTGGGCGGGCGACTTTGCTGCATCGAAGTGACAACGTCCACGGCAACACCGACATCGAGTCCTGTTCAAAATTGGCAGGAACTGATGTCGGTTTTCTTCCCCGCAAGCTTTCCGTACCCACTTTGATCGTTCTGGGATCAGCTGCATGCAGCCAGCTTCCTAGATGCATCCCCACGCCGAGAGCGACCGTTTAGCGAGGAATGTGAACAGCGACGGGGCCGAAACCAAGGAGAGCATTGTTCATTCGCAGCGTTACGGGTATTACTTATGAGGGGAGGAAGGAAGAGAGGAAAAGGGGCCGAACAAGATGTGGTGCCGGACGCACTGCGGCCGTGTGCCGGACACACTGCGGCAGTGCCAGAGACGAACTGGGGTGGGGGGGTGGGGGGGGGGCGTTCTGTGATGGGGGAGGGGGGGGGCATAACGTGACTTCTGGCCCCGAGGGTAGCGAACACACTCCAGCTGCACTCAGCGGATCCCGTTCCCCCCCTCCTGGGGAAACCAGAAGGCACCGATACTGCTACTCCTGGGACATCTCCCAGGGTGCATTCTGACCAGGATTTCGAAGCAAATCCAGCGGTGGCGACGAGGGCCTCCCAGGAGGCCCAAACACAGAAGAAACCGAGGGAAATGCAGCGGTATGGGTACCTCTTCCTCCTCCGACCTCCCCTCCGTCCGGCCCGACTGGCCAGGGACATCCTGGGCCCTGGCACGGTGCACACGCCCTTCTGTCCGAGGCCAGGGGCACCGCCCTGAGGCCCAAGACGGCCCTGGAGGGGCGTGGCGGTGGTGCACAGATGCCCTCCGCGGGTGCCTGTTGTAGGGCTCCCCTGGCTGCACCTCGTGCTTGTCCAACGTGCCAAGGGGGATCTCGTTCACGTAGCGGAAGAGCCCAGTGTCCTCGTCGAGCCACGACTTCACGTGCAGGTCAACGTCGTGCCACAGCGAGACATCCGCCGTCGGCGCAGCGGGCATGCTCTGACGCCTCCAGGAGAACACAAACAGAGCACACATAAGCTTGCAGAGGTCAGCGAGTATTTCTCGGATCTATGCTGCACACCAGACTACCTACCAGACCGCCCCAACCCAACCCGAAGACCCGAATTTCGGGTTGGGGGGGTACGGGCTTCATACGTGTTTTTCCAATGTTTCCCGACCCGCCCCCAGGAAATGGAGGGCAAATCGGGGCCTCCGGGTTGGGGGGGCGGTTTGGTGGGCGGTCAACACCCTCTATCTCTCGCGAGGCGCGCCAAGGGCGGTACCAGAGGCGCCGCGGGGGGGGGGGGGGGGGGCGAAAAATAATGTGCGCGGACCTCCGAAAGGTTTTATGCTTGTCTGCATCTCGTTCCTCGAATGTGGGCCCCCCGAACCCTTCACGAGGTCCGTCCTGACTCGTGGCGACGAGAGGCCTCCAGAAGGCCCTAGGAAAGAACTGCAAGATGCCAAGGCGAGCCGTCGTTGTCTCGACTGGCCCTCCTCCGTCTGTGTCGCCTACGATGAACGGTATAAAATGACTGTTTTCAGTCTCTGGGGACGCCTGCCCCACGGCGGCTGGAAAGCTTATACCCCGACGTGCCACCGTGAATGTAGAACCTTTCCAGCCGTCGCGGAATAGGCGTCCCTGGCGGCGGAAATAACTGTTATTATCGTTCTCCATCGGCAAATTTGAGCCGTGCTTCGGGCATCTTCTGACCCGGGTCAATCCACACCCGGGTCAGTCAGGCCTTGCAGGATCCTGCAGGATCCTGCAGGATCCTGCAACCAAACCCGGGTCAGTGCGACCCTGGCCCTGCAGGATTCTGCAAGATCGGGCGCCCTGGCTGACCCCCGTTTGCACTGACCCCCGTCTCAAGGCTCCCGAAATACTTTCTCCCTCGAGCCTCCCAGTGCGGCCCACTCGCCCGTGGCCCTGGCCGGGGGGGCCGCACACGAAGGCGCCGAGGGCGCCCACGGACACGGCCGCGGCGAGGCACGCAAGGGCGAGCGCGAGCACGCGGCCGAAGACGGCGCTGCGCGCCTTCGTTCTCTGCCTCCCGTCCCGGTAGGCCTTCTTAGTCACCTCCTCCTTGCCGACACCTGCGTCCTTAGGATATGTCGTCAAGACCTTTGTAGTGTGTGTACCACACCCTCCCCGCCCCAGTCAGAGTCCACCGCCCAGGGGCAGTCTCGGTACCAAAACCACGCCCGAGGGAGGGGAATTTGTATACCAGGCCCACGATCAGGACCCTCGCTCGCCCCCCAGGGCGTTCAGGTATAGTGTGTGTATATATAGCTATATGTACATATATATATATATTGTCTCGCGCGGAATACTTGTCATCATAATCGCAAAAGTTAGGGGTCCACGCGGACCTACCAAAGTAATTATGCGTTCGCGCCGCATTTTGTTACTCGGGTCCTGTGAGAGGTCGACTACGCTGGCCTTGGTCTGTAATCGCGCAGCAGATCGACCCTCGAACACGGTCCAGATGAAGAGCGCCACGGGGTAGAGCGCAAACATGCAGAGGCTCAAAGGGAACGCCACTGCCTTTGCACTTTCGAGCGCATGCTGTGCTGCTTCCATCAGAAAAGAAAGCCCGGACGGTCAGGACGGTAAGCAACGCCTAGAAAATTTCTAGATATTGGAGATTGCGCGTTGCGGACCTTGCGCCAAAATGGCTAACAAAGGGGCAGCGTCGCTTCCCCTCCCTCCTCTCCATCCCTCGAAACGGATGGTAAGCAGGATAAACAGCCATGGAGGCGCCATCAAGTCTCCCGACGAAGAGGGAAGGAGGAGAGGAGGAGGATGAGGATGGGAAGGAGGAGAATGAGGGGAGGAGGGGGGGGAGGAGGACGAGGAGGATGGGGCAGAAGGCGAAGAAGGAGGGAATGAAGTGGAGACGAGGGAGGAGGAGAGGTGGGGGTCGAGGTACGGGATTTTTTTTCGCCGGTGCTCTCTGAAGAGGTGGGCGTCAAAATGCAGGATTCATGTTCACTGCTAATCTCTCTCTCTCTCTCTCTTTCTCTCTCATTCTCCTACTACGCGCTGCAAATCTGACGACGCAGACCTCGAACACCTGCTCGAAACTGGCCCCCACCCCCCATGAGAATACATCCTGGCTGCTCCAACCGTGGCAACGAGAAACCTCCGCGGAGGGCCAGGAGGGTCCGAAAGCCCGCTCCTCCATCCCAGGAGGCTGGCGTGAAGGAAGGACGCCGAGATCAAGAGGCTTCAAAACTTCACCCAAGAGGTCTCAAAACTTCCCCCAACCCAAGGGGCCCCGAGAGGCATACCAGCGGACATCCTCGAAGCACATGGCCCAGAACCCAGGCACGGAAGCGGGATGGGCCGAAAGCCATGAAGCACAAGATTGCATCTATGCGCCACCAACGCGTCCAGGCCGCAAATCATTGCAAGTACTCATGTACCGGCTCAAGTCCCCCGCCATCCTGTGCTACCGCCACTGCACGTCGGGTCGGAAGAGGTCGGCAAAGACGTTAAGTCGAGGAAGGCGGATCAAGCGGATTGGGCCCAGGCCCTCCCAGAGAGTCATTGACAAAACACGTCCAGGCCATGCTGACTCTTGAAACAGGCAAGCGCTAGGAATCGATTGGAATCTGGGAATCAAGGAGTCCCTGCGTACTTGCAACGACCGACGGGTACTCCAGCCCAGCGATGAGCAGGGACCGACCGTCCAGGCATTTCTATAGACCTACCATGGGATTTTCTCAGAACCCGAAATTGTTCTAGGAACAAAAACAACGTTCTTAGAACAGATGCCCGATGTGTTAAAACAAGACAGCCCCGGCCAGAACTGTTCTAAGAACATTTTCGGGAGCGGCCAAGAGGGGGGTGTCAAAGAGGGGGGGGTGCAAATCATGACCGGCGGCATGTGCGCGGCCCAGTGGGGGGGCCAGGGACGTAATGAAATAAGAAGAGGCGCCATGAGATCTGGGGAAATATCATGCTCCCCGCCATGATATCCCCCCCCCCCTAGTCATCACCCCCCTCTTTTCCGCCCCCGACATTTCGTGCAGACCACAAAAAGTTCTTAGAACATTGTTTGGCAGGCCTATAGGCGTGCCAGGACGCTTCGCCACTGCTTGACAGCGCTGCGCCCTTCGCCGGGGGCCGCCGCTGCTCGCCGCGCGCCCCGCCAGCAGGGCCGGCGTCCGGCGCGCCCCCCCCCCCGCTCGACGGGGGCCGCCCGCCGCGCGGACCGTGCCCGGGGCCCGTGCCGAGGCAGCCGCGCCGCAGGGGGGCCGCGGCGGCCGGCGGCCAGGGTGCTCACCTGCCGAGGCTCGCTGGCGGCGGCCGAGGCGTGCGGGCGGCACCGCGAGCAGTCTCGAGTCGAGGCGGCCGCTGCAGGGGCGGTGGCGGCCAGTGCAGAGCGCCTGCTGGGTCCTCGACCCTCCACCCATCCTCGGTCCTCGACCCTCGATCCTCGCCCTCGACCCCCTCCTCCTCCTGCTCCTCCTCCTCCTCCCTCCTCCGGCTCCGGCTCGGGCTCCATCATCTCTTCTCATCTCATCCTCCTCCTGCTCCTCCTCCTCCCCTCGATCCGTATCATTCTCCTCGGCCTTCTCCTCAGCCTCCTCCTCCATCCTCCTCCTTGACCTCCTCGTCCTCGAGGGGGCGAGAGAGGGGGGGCGGGGATGGCGGGAGAGAGGGGAACGGTGTGACACGGTGGCTCTTCGGCGAGGGGAGTGGGGGAGGGAGCAGGGGGGAAAGGAGGGGCGAGGGGGAGAAGCGGAGAAGGAAGGGGAGGTGGAATCAGGAACGAGGGGGAGCAGTGGGAGTAAGGGATGAGGAATGAGGGTGGACGGGGGAGGAGGGGGGGGGGTCGGAATGGGGGGGGCGAGGAGGGATGCTCTGCGGAGGGGAGGAGAGGGGAGGAGAGGGGAGGAAGGACGAGGAGGGAGGACGAGACGGGCGGGAGGGCCATCCCTCCTAGCGCAAATCATTCGATGTGGGCCGATCCCGCGGCGTTCCACCTTGAACGCCCGCGCTGAGGTCGCCGCCGCGTCAACGCGGCGCGAAAGTTCACCATGCGGATGAACGGTAAGGATGAGAGGGCCCACTGGGCGTCAAGTTGAGACCGCTTGAGCGGTGCACGGCCAACACCCAGGAGTCACACACACCAGAATATATAAGCCGACAAGGCAAGGCCGCAAAGGCATCCTGGAATATATACTCATCCTTGGTATCAGCTTTTGATTGTACCTCCTCCCGCACTTCTCATCGGTCAGGAGCTCTCGGGAAGGTGTGGATAGAATAAGAGAGGCTCAACGGAACCGAATCCTGTCAGGGAAAAGGGTCCTGGAACCTCGATGGTTGTTCCTGGAATCAGTTGACCATGGGCTCCTTTCTCACGGCCCTGGGGCAAATGGAGTGAGATCCGACACTGCGACAAGAATTTTTAGAGTCCCGGAACGGTGCGGTGACAGACCGTGCGGTGACCTCGAAATCCCCCAAGACCTCACCGCACGGTCCGTCAACGCACGTTTTCGGGACCTCGGATGCCCCAGTCGCCCGAGACGTCCTCGGAGAACGACCCGAGTCCCAAAACCGTGCGGTGGCCCCGAATCCCCACCGACTCACCGCACGGTGTGGTCACCACCCCGTCTGGAGACCCCCGAGAATTACAGCATCGCGCGGAACACCCCCAGGGAGGCCTGGACCCCCGCTGTCCTGAGGCATCTCTCGCGCTCGGTCCTCTGTGGCGCTCGGTCCTCTGTGACGGTCACCGGGCCCGACGCTGGGCAGAAGTCGTCGGTCGTGCAAGGACTGCAGCGCCACGATCTCCCGGGCTGCTCGTGGAGACACCGGCAACTTCAACATCGGACCCCATGGGCTCCTCCCGGGGTCCGAAGCGCACAAGTTGCCCTGCCCGAGCTGCGTCCAGCCGTTGCGACGAGGGGGCCCCGTTGCCTCGCCTCGCCCTCCTCTGAGCTTTGGAGGCGCCTCGAGTTCTTCAGGACCCGTTTCCCTCGGGCCCCGGAGCTGCCGACCCCTTCCTCTCATGGGTGATGAGATGCTCGTCCCGCATCCATTTGAATCCCAGAGCCCGATGACAACCCCAAAGGCCGAAAGCTAAGAAAAACGCCTGGATTGAAAAACACGTCGTCGGAGATCTTGAGGGGCGCCTCGCAATGTTCGAGGCGCAGGATGCGTAGGGTAGAGCAGGCACCGACCGTCCTAGCCCACGTAAAGCCAACTGACGACAGCAAGACTGTCTCATCCAGACACGTTCGAAAAACATTTCGCGCAAACAACACTCAACAACTGACAAAAACAACACAACGAGGATACATCTGGGCTTGCGCATGCCCAAGATTGTCGGAACACCGAAACCAGCTTCGTACTGGTTGTAATCGATATGTGGCGCCCCAGGACGGCCAAATCCACCGCAACCGCAACCAAAGTGCTCATGTCGAGATCGCTGGGTTCTCCCCCGAGGGGCCCCCCCGAAAAATCCGCTTCGCTGTGGCTGTGGCTCCTTCTTGCGCCCCGACCACGTATACGGGCCAGCCCCGACGCCTCGCCCCTGCTTTGACGGGGTGCTCTCCGCTGGCCGTCACGGGCCGGCGCGGCGCACCGCCGTGGGTGCGCCGCCGCTTCGGCCGCACGGCGCCCCCGGCGGGCGCGGCGGCCTCCCCGCGGGGGCGGTTACGCGACGGCGCGCGCGCGAGCTGCAGCTCTCCAAGAGGAGGGTCCGTTTGGGCGCCCAGGACGGGCACGGAGGGCACAAGAGGGCCCCAAGACGGCCCCCAAGAGGAGCCCAAGAGGGGAAGCACACACCTGAACCCACCAGCCGAGCTTTTTTCGCCCCAGGAGCCCCCAGGAAGCCCCAATGGGCCCCACAGAGCCCCAAAAAGGTTTCCAAACGGTCCCAATAGGCCGCAAGATGGGTACAGAAAAAAATGGGTACGATGCCCAGCAGGGAAACTTGTCCAAAACCGACAGCGGCCGCTCTCCTCCTCCTCCTCCTCCTCCTCCTCCTCCTCCTCCTCCTCCTCCTCCTCCTCCCCCTCCTCCACCACCTCCTCCTCCTCATCCTCCTCCTCCTCCTCCTCCTCCTCCTCCTCCCTCCCGTAGCCATTTTGGCTCAAGCCATTTTGGCTCAAGACGGAGTTTACCTCCCGTCCCGACTCCAGAGGCTCGAGGACCGAGGTGGAACGGCAGCCCGCCTCAGGCCAGGCTGCCTCGGTCCCAGCTTTCCAGCAACGCACAACCTCAGTTTCTTTCTTCTGCTGGTCGCCGCGGCGAACGGCCAGCACCCAGTCTCCCCGCAGCCATGGGAGGCTACAAGCAGTGAAATGCTACTGCCAGACGCCCAGCTGCTGGGGCTGGACCTGGCAAGGGCATGGTGGTCACAAGCATTGTTCAGAATGCGGACGCAGTTTCAAGCCTCAGTCTCATCATTCCCGTCCAGCAGGTAACAAATCGGCAGGACACGATGATGGTGGCAGCACCCAGCAGGCCCCACGCAACAGGTGGTCTCGCAGCCGTGGTGCATCCCGTGGTCATGAGGCCCAACAGCAGCAGGATCATGGACCCAAGACGTCCCTCGCTCCAGAGGG